TATGGGGCATGTTTGGTTGGCCTCCACATTTAGTCACACTTTTGTGCCACAAGTGTGGCATGCCACAGTTTTTGTGGTGGCCAAATTGGTCGCCACACTTATGGCAAAAGTTGGCTAGCAACCGAGTCTATGGCAAGTGAGGTATGTGACTAAAAAAGTGCGGAGTGCCACAGTTGTGGCTGTAACCAAACGCTTGCCACAGTTTGCCACACTTGTGGCACAGAAGTGTGGCAAAGTGTGGATGGCAACCAAACATGCCCATGACCTTTAACAATCATTAATAGTTTAATACTCATGTCCGCTCAGTTGAGGTAATGTCTGTCTCTTTTACTTGTTTACTTCACTAATGATTCCCATTTTGACTTCTCGAGAACTAGTGTGTTGTGATCTTTTCTGTTGAGCTTTAAAATAAATATTTCAGCATGACATTATTGAGAATATTTGGCAATTGAAGTACTCCTCTTTTTGCAGCTGATATAGTGGCAAGCTTTGTGCTACAAAAGACGGTTTCAGAGTTGAATGAAAGTATACCTAAGCTTGAGTTTGACATCTATGAGGAAATTGGCATCCCTAACTCTACTGTAAGGCAGAAATGCTGCACCTTATTTATTTACTTCATGTTTTTTTTTGCGAATCTTCTTCCTGTCATGTACAGTGTGCCCCACAATCTGTCAACGTAATTCCTGATTCCTAAATGATTGTACAGGTTGCTGTAAATTTTCTACAACCATCAGGTGCATCAAACTGGACAAATGTCATCTTCAGCGTTGTGCCTTATCCAAAATACTCAACTATGTCATCAACATGGTTGAGCATTCTTAGGTCTCATTTCATGTCCTTGGTTGTACAGCAGTCAACACTCCAATTGACAGAGTCGCTGTTTGGGAACTCATCATTCTTCGAGGTGCTTAAGTTCCCTGGAGGAATAACCATTATCCCTCCGCAAGCTGCTTTTCTTGTGCAGAAGCCTTATGCATCTTTCAACTTCACTCTGAATTTCCCAATCGACAAGGTACAGGATAAAACAAATGAGTTGAAAGACCAAATGAGGGCAGGACTACTTCTCGATACCAATGAGGTTGGTGCTAGCATCTGGTTGAGTTCTATTTAATATTTTCCATTCTAGCAATAACTACCATGTCATGTTAGTTTAGTTTTACACACTTGTCACCGCCAAATTGCTGTAGAACCAAATCTGAAAGGTTGGATGCTTGGTTTTTTTCTTTTTTTTTGAAAGGAATGCTTGCTTCTTGTTATTTGTCTTGGGTTTGATTCCTGCGTCCGCATTTGTATGCAAAAGCAGAACAACCATGTACATGACCACATAAAATTCATTTTATACTCATGTACCTGAACTCCATGTCCTCTGAGTAGTTTCTCTGCTAGGGACAAAGTACACCAGGAATATTTTGTTTTTGTATACATGTATGGCCGTATGGGCGAACATGCAAGAAACACATATGGGATTTTTTTTCCTTCCCATTTTCCTATTTTTGTAGAGTTAAATATTAAGAACGAAAAGAACATACTTACTCCCTCCGTCCGCGAATAAGTGTACATCTAGCTTTTGTTCTAAGTCAAAGTTTTAAATTTTGACTAACTTTATAGAAAATAGTAGTAACATATATGACATAAAATTGCTATATTATCAAAGTACATTTCAAGAAGAATCTAGTGATACTAATTTGGTGCCATAAATGCTTTTACTTTTTCCTAGAAAGGTGGTCAAAGTTTTAAAACTTTGACTTAAGACAAAAGCTAGATGTACACTTATTCGTGGACGGAGGGAGTATATGCAATATAAATGATCTAACACAGCAATCAATACTCAATAGCAGTACGACAGTATGGGTAGAGATCGTAACTTGGAACTCCATACTTGCCCTAAGACTCTTATTTTGTTGAACGTTCCAAAATGTTGGACGGGGAAGCATAATTTTCCAAGGTCATAATATGTGAAGTGAATATTATATGCTGCTTTTCTTTTTTAGTTGATCCCCTGTTCACATGCTTTGCAGATCCTTTATATCAAATTGACAAATTTGGAAGGTTCAACGGTTGCTCCTCCAACAGTTGTTCGGTCCTCCATTATTCTAGAAGTTGGGAATCACCAGCCTTCCCCTCCAAGAATGAAGCAGTTGGCACAAACGATTGCTAATTCATCTTCAGGAAACTTGGGACTAAATCACACTGTATTTGGCAAAGTAAAGCAGATAAGTCTTTCGTCGTATCTGCGGCATTCTTTGCACAGCGGGAGTGATAGTGATGCACCAAGCCCCGCACCCATGACTCATGAAGATCATCGCCATCACCACCACCATCATCATCACCACCACCACCACCACCACCATCACCACCACCATAGCCACCACCGTAGTCATGAAGTAATTAGGCATTTGCCTCCATCTCCTGCACCTGTACATCCTCCTGTGGAACAGCCCAAATATAGATCTCCATCCCCATCTGGTTATTCATATGGATACACCAATAAGCCAAAAAATAAGGCTCCTGTGGCCCCAGCGGCTGAGCCAGTAGTTAGGAATCATCATTATGCTTCCCCTCCCACCATGCCTCATGCAGTGTCACCATCTTCTGTCAGTCCATCACCTTCTGCTCGTCACTCTACAAATATTCCCAACAGGCACCATAGTTCCCCTGCTCCATCTCCAGCAAATGTGAAGCCCCCGCTGCATACAGTGTCTCTCGCTCATGCACATCATCCTGCTCAAGTGCCAGCTGTGGCCCCTGCTCCCAACACATGTGAGTCTTCTCTATCTTTTCTCATTTCCACAGCTGCCAGACATTGCTAATATCAACCAACATTTATCAAGGCTTGGAGTTGGTAGATTGTTCTATGTACAGAATAGCAGTTTTATTCCATGCAGACCTCAGCGATCAGTTATCGTGCTTGTCACTGCAATTTGAGTGATTTACTAAAATGATTTGGTGTACTGTGAATTTGTGATGCTAAACGAGTCCATCTAAACTGCACTGCTATGTCGGTGATACTGATGAGACTAGCTAATAGCTTAATGCATGTCTCAAGGAATCCTTACAAAAAGACATGCTTAGTATCATCTTTGTTCGCTGTTTCAATATTTTTTATTCATGCTAGGAAATTTTTCATCCTGTTATCTGTGTTGTCACGTGTAGACTATCCAATTATACATCCTGATACCTACCTGTCATGTAAATTAGCAGCATATCCTCTCCTGCAACTTACCATCCGCTGTTTTGTTATTACAGCATTTGCCACCCGAAGGCATTCCTGTCAATGGGCACTTGCGATGCTATTGTGTTTGCTGGCTGGTCTACCATGACAGAGCTAAGGTAGCATGCTGAAGGCAGTCCAAAATAAAAAAAAGCCTTCAAGAGCTAGCATGCTGTTTTCAGGAGGTCGCATTAGGCGTGAAAAACTGTGCACCCTATGAGCAGGGGGTGTTTGTTATAGCATGTAAATACTGGTGTTGGGGTATAAGCCAGGCAACTGGGCATCTCTGTGTATAGTGGTCAAAGCCAGAGGCGGCGGGCCCTTCAGTGTCGTTGCACATGTTTTGCCCAGTCTTGCTGTGCAGTGGTGAACAAAAGATGATGGAATCCAGTATAAAAGTTTATACTGTTTGTTGTCCGCGTGTAGCGGTTGCCTCCGGTTCAAATTCTCAGGGGTTTGAATTTTGCGTGGACCGATGCTCAATGATTCTCCTGAATAGTAAACCTGAGCATCAGAAGGCGTGATGATGTGTTTTGATGACACATTGCGCCTTGAATTTGACATCCTACATGATCATTCTGACAAACCAGGGTTTCAAACCCCTGATGGCAGTTGCAGGGATTTCAAGGCAAGCCATTTTTGGCTGGCTGGGATTCACCTGAGCATGTTTCCAAATTTCACTTGGGATCTAGGAAATTTGTGTCTGAAAATGCGTTTTTTTTTCTTTCTTTCACGTGGTCGGCAATAGCATATGGTCGATGCAAAGCAGCGTGATTGTGAGCTTCATTTCAGGTGAAGCACCAACTTTGTGAAACTGTGTCCATGGAGCTGCAGTTGTGACTGAGTGGTTCAGAACAGCCATTTTAAAGTCGACTGGAAGTAAATGACTCAGCAGCCTGAAAATGCTAAATGGAGCTTGAGCTCCATGTAGGGCGACTTTAAAAATATATATCATACTTTTATGTTTCAAAAGATTCTGAAAAAATTCACATATACCAAACACATAATGTACACATGTATAAAATTTCATGTTGAAATACATTAAAATGAGAGCTACAGAAAAGGAAAAACTTTGTGCCTTCTTAGCACATGAAGTCCACGATTTTTTTTCAGCTCACAATTCAAGGTATTTCATCATCAAATTTTACACACATATGTACATTCCACCCTCGTAAACGTGTATGTTTCTTTTCAGAAATTTTGAAACTGAAAGTTAAAATTTTGAATTAAAATAACAGGCTCCATGGAGCCCGTCCTCCAAAACACCCTACTCCTTGCAATCGAGCTAATTTAGCCTAGTAGTAACATGTTACGATCTACTCCTCACAATCGAGCTAATTTAACCTAGTAGTAATATGTTGTTGATGTAGTAATAGCTACGCTCAGCTCATCCTAAAGGCAGGCCCATGAGACTTCAAGAAGCCACTCCATCCCATACAGTATACGAAAAGGGCTATTCACACACAAAATTCATCAAGACACTAGGGCACGTCAAAACTTTAGGAAAACAAGCGGAATTCAGTAGAAAAAAGGGAGCAATTGAATGAATCAATGTCTGATGTACAATGGGTCTGAATCTGATGGTACAGATGCTACAACTATGCTGCGACAAAATACACACTTTAGCAGTTTTCAAGAATGTTGAATTGAATTGAGCCAAGATACACAAGCCCCCACCGAAGACGACACATGGTGGTGGCCAGAAGAAACAATGGGACGAACGATCAATTGTGCGACACATATGTACCGGTTTTTCCTGATCGTGTTGGAGGGTATCGACTGGGCGCTGTCAATAAAGTTTATTGTGCTTGCTGTTGTCTCTCTTGAGTTGTACTTTCAGCTTTTTACCACCTAATTGGAACCCATTCATCATACTTATGGCTGCCTGCGCAGGAGCAGGAGAATCGTAGCTTACAAAACCTGCATCCAGCCAGGAACGAATTAACAAAAATCATGATGGTATGATGCCAGTCCTAAGAAATCCAGCTAGAAGGAAGAATTAGTTACCAAAGCATTTACTAGCACCGGTCGTTTTGTCTACAAACACTTTGGCACTCAATACTCTACCAAAACTCTGAAATGCATTTGCTAGATCTTGGTCGCCGAATTCTTGCGGGATGTGATAGATAAACAAGTTAGCTCCAGGAGGACCTGTGCACATGAAACACATCATCTGTAAAACATACCTGAGAAGAAATAAAAAATGGAATGACTATATTAAAGGAGACAAACCCTCTAGCTGAGGACCAGTGTTGCTGCTGGTACTTGAAGATGTGGGAGATGTAGCATTTGCATTCGGAACTTTAACTGAATTAAGAGAATTCATGTAAGGACGACTATTGATGCCACCACCAGGATATGACCCAGGATACTGCATACCAGGCCCAGCTGGATAAGGGCTGCCCAACTGCATTGAATTGAATGACCTTGCAACTGAATTAGGGGATAGTTCAGAATTAACGCCCCGTATTGAGCTTCCTTGATTGACAGGCTGAACCATATTCTGGAAGCCTGCTTGATTTTGCATTGGAGATAAAGGGTACTGCATAAGCCCATAGGTTCCTTGTGGCTGCACATATCAATAACTGAGAGTTATATACCACAACACAAGGCGTATCATATTCAGGGCTAGTGTGGTGGGCACTAATCAAAGGTCATAGAGCATTAACATGCCATTGATTCAAGCCATTTTGGACCTTGCTTAACACTACTAGCACATTAAGAAAGATAGGTCATTGGTGTTAAAATTATATCTTGTAATGGTTCTGATGTAGTTTTCCATGTTTGGTACTCTGTCTGTTGATGTTTTGGCTTTGTTGCCTTACATCAACTTTAATAAAGATGGCTATGTGCATCACAATGATGCAGAGGCCGGGGGTTTCAACCTCCTATTCTATTTTTTTAAGAAAGATAGGAAATCGCAGCAGTTCAAAACAATGCCTTTTCTGTTTGGTTGGTTGCAACAGTACATGTGCAACAACTATACAAAGGTTATAGACATAGAACAACATGAATAGCGAAAGGTGGAAACAAACATTTCCACTTTCCTCAAAACATGCTCTTGAACAGTCATTTCTTTCAGCAAACTGAAAATCTATTCTAAGAATAAGCTCAAGATTATAGGAATAGCCTTTTATTGTATGGGCACAATAAGCTCAAGGTTTCAGTATCATAAATTCACCTGGTAGCCAAATCCGTTATATGGAGGCACATATCCCATCTGTAAGGCACCAAATAATGAACTATGTTGCATGGCATTTGCATTTGACATATTAGACGGCGGAAATTGAGCCTTTTGTGCTTTTCGAGCCTGCCTTTCTTTTTCTGTGTCAGCCCATTTTACAACCAAAGGTACACTTGAACCCTGAGAAAAAAGATCAAGGCATGTCAGGGTATATTTACCAATCATGAAGTTGCAGAAGAAAGGGAAATAACTAATACAAATGTGCATAATATTGTCCAAGATTCCAATTTCCAACCATTATATTTTGTTTTTTTAACTCAAAATGTAGCAAACAAACTGGATAATTCCTGTTTTTGTAAGCCTGGTGCCATTACTTGTATGAGAGATCAAGAATGTTCAGATCAAATAGGTCAGCAGAATCCACCACACATGTGGGCAAAGCAATTTCTGCACTCAACAATGGTTATTTGATCTGGATATACTAAAATTTTGCTGCATGTATTAAAACCTTCGTCTTCCCTCACTTTCTTTATGCACTGCAAGTGATTTTGAATTTGGCTAAAGAGAACTGCAATTGCTTTGAGTCCTCATGTTTTCACAAACCTCTATTTTGTGCTTCCCATTTAAAGCTTCGATAGCTGCCACAGCCTGGTCTTTTGTTTCATACTTCAGAAAGGCACAGCCGGCTGCAACACCCACAGTTGGTAAGCAGCTAAATGTGCAAGCAAGTGTAGAAGAAAAGTAATGTTCATTTGAAGTCATAAGAAAATCAACTGGTCCCACAAGAAATTTTTACCTTTGCTCGTCTGTTGTGAACCTCTCAAAATCTGCAAATCTTTGATATTTCCATATTGTGAAAATAAATCAGTCATTTCAGCATCTGTTACATTTTTGGGGAGCATTCCGATGAAAAGTTTGTGCTCTGGAAGTATCGGTGAAGACATGTCAGCACAATGAGAAACAAAACAAACTTCGATCAATAATTGATACACAAGTTTGCTTGTGAATGAAATAATTTTAGAGAGCCTCATACCCAGCCTTTCCAACTCTCCATCGGCATATTTTACTTGCAATGGACTTGGGGCCTGGTTCCAAACACAGACAAAATGGGAAAAAATGTTAATGACATTCAGAGAGAAGTAACAGCAGCCCTTGCAAAATTGTATTGATGTTCGGTGAATATGCAAAGAAGATGTTGGTTATGCTCATTGATCATGATAAGGATGTGTCACATCTTTCTGAAGTAGATATAGACATTTTATTCACGTCCATATAACCTCAAAAAGGCTTGGTGCCAAAACAGCCCCAATCCCTTTGGTCATTTCGCTTTTCGTGCTGGCCAAAAGAAAACCTGTGATCACCAAAAGAACTACTACTAAGCCATTGGACTGCCCTTTCCATATGTACCAGCCAACATGGTCTAAAATATCATAATTGGGACCGCTGGTGCATCACTCTTAGCTAAGCTTAGGCACCTGCTTTCTGAATTTATCCAAAATCGACATATCAAAGATTCCTGGCTACAAGGTTTTAGATCTGATCAGCTACATCAATTCTACAAGAAAAGATAAGTCTGACAGAAATCCACTTGATACCAGTCATGTACAACAATGTAACATCCTTCATATTCTAGGGGTGCCAACAGAGCAATTTGGAGCAGTAATAATAACTGAAGTGATTCATAAAATATTTGAAACACTTTTGTCTGCACTACTGTACTGTGTCTACGGCTAGCATAATGGATGATGACATGCATTCCACATAGACATTAACACAGTTTGCCTTGACCAGATTAAGGACACACCTGGAGCAACTTTTTTCTAAGAACAAACTAAAAGAAAGTGCCAAATTAATAAGTTAGATTAACTGTACTAACAATCCATCAGTTGGTCAAGTGTGGGCATGGACGATTTTGTTGACAGTATTCATCAGTTAACCAAAATCTTGAATGCAAGTCAGACAAATCATTCTTCTACATCATAGTCTATACGCAGGATCATTTGGGCCAAATAGGCAAACTCAAAATGGTTATCTTAAATGCAAATATAGCGACAATGGTCAGTCAGAAAAAAACTTTACAGATCACCAATAATGAACCAACTTCCTGGGAATCTCCCACTAAGTATTCACTTAAGACTTAACCCTAACTAGACCAGCATAGACATGTACTGCATTCCTGGTTCATCCACTGCCAAGAATACCCAACATTCAAGAGCTCCCAACAACAACAGATCCAGAAAGAACCCTTTAGATGCATCAGTTGGTTAAATTATACCCGAGTTACCCAGGCAGATACATGTGAAACAAGAAGGGTTGTGTCTGCATACCCCAGGAAGCGTGCGTTTGTTGTGAAATGCATTCACTGCCTTGTCAGCCTCCTCCCTTGATGGGCAGATCAGGAAGCAGCAGCCTGCAATGTACAACATACTGTATATCAAGATCAAACTAAAACATCATGAGGAGAGACTACAGTCGAGCAAAAACAGAACACAAAATACAACTAAAAACCTACTGGGACACCAATACCAACAAAAGACTCTCATATGAAAACACCAGTGTAATACCGAAGTTTGTCGCAAACAGGATTGTGAATTTGCATATGCAGCAAAACATCTTATGACGTTCACATGTAACTACTCCTGGGAGAACAAATGCAAAACAATCAATCCCTACTAACAAGAACAGATATAATTCAAACCAATCAAATCGAAGAAGCACTGATTCCCCATGGTATAGGGAAGTACTCTCCTAGGACAAGTTCTAAATAGTTACCATCAGATTTCATAATCTTGAATCATGATCTCGTAGTAGGGAAATGTAAGGTAAAATAGCCCAAAAAAAATCCAGAGCAAAACCTCGAAATACCACGCGAAGGTAAATTCCTTGATGGGACCAACGGAATTCTGAAATCCACCGAAACGGCAACAAACACATTACAATTCCACTGGTCCTAAATTCCAGCCTATCGCACGTACAGAGAAGACACACCTTCGTCCAGCTATTGGTTGAAATGAATTTATGTACTAACAAGGACAGCTTATATCTGTGGTCCAATCTGCCAGCTTAAATTCGAGCTCAAGTCCATCTAAAAATTTAGCCATGACCAAACGTTTAATTCCACATCCCATGATCGAAAAACACACACGCACGCACGCACGCACCCGAGAAGCAACAAAGTTCTCCAGAGAAGAAAATTTACCAATCCGACACCAGAAAAAATGAAATTCGGAGTTCAGACCCAACGCTTGCGAGCAACACTAAATTCCAACATTTTTTACTGGCATGGGTAAAACCCCACTGATTCAGCACAAAATCCGAGCTCGAGCGGCCGAGGAGCAGAGAATCTGATGCAGCTCGGAGCTCCTACACAAGAGATGAGAAGTTGAGAACATCCAAATGAAAAACGCGGGATAAAGCAGACTTGGGCAAACGTTTTGACTTTTCTCCGCAGGGAGTTCACACCATAGCAGAAGCTAGCAATTCAGCCCTCCCCTTGCACAAAATTCCCCACGGGCAGCGAGAATTGCGCCTAAATCGGCACGGAAGAAGCCCAATTCCCAGCAGAGCGCGAGAACTTTCAGCCGGAAGAAGCAGAAATCAGGCAGCTCAAATGGCCGGGCGGCATTGCCAGCCACCAGCAGAGCACAGACAGAGAGCACAGCGGAACCGCCGCGGGCGGGAGGAGCAGGAAAAGCCGCAAGCAAACGGTAACCGCGCCCAGATCCCGACCCAGGGAAACAAACAGAGCGGCAAAGCACGCAGGGAACGGCATTGCAAGGGGGGGAAATCCGGCGGGGCGGGGGCGTACGGATCCGGACCTCGGGACGCCTTGGTGGCCTTGTCGCGGATGACGGTGACCTCGTCGACGACGGCGACGTCGCGGAACATGGCGGCCAGCTCGGCCTCCGTCATGAGCTTGGGCACCTGGCCGACGAAGAGCTTGACGGAGCTCTCGTCCCTGCCGCCGCCGTCCTCCCCGCAGGCGTGCCCTGCTCCGGGCCCCACGGCCGCGGCGGGCTGCTGCTGCTGCTGGTCCCTGTCGCCGGCGTCCTCCGCCATTGGGCTGGGCTGGGCTGGGCTGGGCTGCCGAGCTAGCTGGCTGGCTGGCTTAGGGTTTGCGTGGGAATTTGGGGTGGCGACGGCGTAGGAGGCGGGGACGCGGACGGGGACGGAGTCGGGGCAATTAATAGTAAAATAAATAGCGGCGTAGTGAATTAGGACAGGAGAGAGGGGGGAGGGAGCAATGGATATGGTATGGTGGCAGACTGGCAGTGAGGGACAGGGAAGACAAGGTGGTGTGATTCCCACCTCCCTCCCCCCCTCCCTCTTTTTTCCCCCTCATCTTCCCCCCTTCTTTTGTCCCAACGGTTTTGCTTGCATGCTCTCGTTTTTCTTTTTGAAATTTTAATGATGGTGTTTTCCTTGTCTATGAGAGACGGTTAATGTGCATCTAATTAAGCTGTTTTTAATTTAAAAAATGGTGTTTGTTATGCTACTAGTTTAAAATTTAAGCAAAGTCAAGAGGATTTATGTGTGCCGACTGAGCGGCAACCACTCGGTAAGTTCAAGCAAAGTCAGCTCGTGTAAAATTCCGGCGTTCTTTCGCATTTACAGAAAATTCGAGAAAAACTTTCAAGCTCAATCGATGTGATACTTGCAAACTTGTCAAAATCCCGATAGAAAAAAGAGTGTGGATTGCCACGTACAACAATATTTATACATCACATTTTTTGACAAATTTTATACATCACCATACTTGCAAACTTGTCAAAATCCCGACAGAAAAAAAAGACTTTTTGACAAATTTTGAAAAAAAATCTTTTTACCTTTATATCAACATAAATATTTACACATCACAAATTTTGACAAGTTTGCATCAATATTATGTCAACATAATTTTTGACAAATTTTGCGAAAGAATGAAAGGTAAGACTAACAAATTGTAGTGACAACCACTCCACTCCCAGCTAGTTGTTAAAATGTTACTCCCTCCATTCAGAAATATATGATATTTTGGATATTTTAATATGAACTACATATGAATTAAAATGAGTGAACAAATACATTAAAATATGTTTTTATATGCCCGAATCAAAAGAAGGTTGAAATATTTTATATTTGTGGACGGAGGGGGTACGTGCTCGTACATGCATTTTGGGGGGCTTTGGATCTTTTCCTTTAACGATCGTCCCCATGTTTTTTGCTTGCTTGAAGTGGCAGTGAAAGTAATTCACCAACCATGCAATGCAATGAGAATGGAGGCATGGACAAGGACAGGCAGGCTACTGAAAGGCAGAAGCGCGCCAATTGGAACTATCCCTCTCAGTCCTCCTACGGGGGAGCTGGCATGTCACCCTCCCTTTTCTTCTTAATCCATCTTTTTTTCGAGAAAGGGAATTCGTGATGCATCTGATAAAAATGGCAACTGCACATGAAATAGTGTCGGGTGTATTCAGGGGAAAAGAACAAATCGCTAGGCGCACCAATCTTGCCGAGCACTCCCCGCAGGTGCTGGGTCAGTTGCCCGGTGAAAGGTCAATGTGTGGTGCAAATTGAAGATACTCCTACGTTATTAGCAGATGACTATTCTACAGAAATACTAATATCCATATTTGTTCTGATGATAATAATAATACTAGTACAAGAAAGGAAGAAGATCTTCTCGGAAGCATAGTAAAATTGCAAAAGGAAAAGAAAAGTGAGAGAGGGGAACCTTCTCTTTCATCAATCAACCGAGAAAAGAAAGAGAAAAGCGACATATGCATGGTGATGCTGTGCCTGTCAATCAGAATGATCATTTTGTGGGTCGCTTTGGCATGTGTTGAGAAAAGGAAAAGACAGTGATGTCTAGCAGGGTGCGGAGTTGCCTGAAATGTTCCTGGGCATTACTGTCATAGAAGAGGAAGAAGAAGAGCTACAGTTTGTTAAATCTGTTTCGCCGCTGGCATAGAGGATGTTCCAGCACGTCACTCTCGCTTCGATCCAAGCTTTCGTTCTCGTGCCTGCGAAAGCGTGAATTCGACTAACAGCATGTACCCCTCTGTACCAAAATATAAGACGTTTTTTTGCAGTTCAATGCATAGGCAGTAGTATATAAAAGCAGGCATTTCCATGGCAGAAAGAAAGTCCGAGTACAATACTGCACACTGAAACTGGAATTCTTTCAACCCTCTGCGATAATAATCGAGCTTAACTTG